GGAGGCATACGTTGTGGGCGGAGGCGTGCCCCGAGTTGGGTGGAGCCAAATTTAAAAAATTCGCGAAACGGTTCCAGAGCACTGCAGACCCCCGGGGGAGGGGTAACGGGTTGACAAGTGTGAGGCATACCCGTTGTGAGTGGAGCGTGCGTCGAGGTGGGCGATTCCGGTCCTAAAACTTCTTCAAACGGTTGCAGAGCACTCTAGGCACTCCAGACCTCTTCTGAGATACGGCTCAGCTTTGCGGGGCGTGGCTCCATCGCGCCTACCTGCATTCGTATGATCAAATGCTCGACTAATACCCGGCTTTTCTCTCATCTGTCCACTTGATCAACGCTCCTTACCACCATTCCATACACCGTAATAGTGTTGAAAATAGCAGGTATGATGTGGAATATGAACATGCTATTGGTCAAAGAATGTTGACCATCTGTTCAAATAAAAGAAAAGCCGGATACTAGGTGGGTATTGAAATGTGTGGAAGAAGATAAGCGCGGCGAAGCCGCGCCTGCTCGGTGAAGTCGTGCTGTGTTTCAGATATAGGGGCGCCGGCTGGTATCGCATAATCGGATAGCTCGATCGCCTTTGGGGCGTTCCACCGCCAAACGGTGCATCGCTGCAAGGACAGATTCCAAATCGGGCCGTGTTGTGATAGTGTCAGTTTGGACTGTGCCATTGTGGCACCATTTGGCGGTGGAGCGCCGCCGGTCCTAGTCGCGTGATCGCGAAGTCTGAACGCTGCCTACCTGAAAAGTTCAATTATCTTTCGCTGGTATTTGGAGCGGATATGGATTCGTTTATCGGGTTTCTTGAAGATGATGAGTGGCTATAACCTGTCAATAAGTCACGGTCTTCTTTAAATGCGCCATTCAAAGCAAATCTGCATAGGTTCACGATACGAGCTCAAGTCGCACATATGATCCAGTGATTGAATCAATACTGGAAAAATCTGAAGAGAGACGCCGCGCCGCTGACGCTGCCCGAAGTTCGGCTGTCGACGCCCATTGGATTCCAAAAGGGTTTGTTCCTAAGGTGAGTACTACTGATGTGTAGCGATGGATTATACGAGAAAAATAATCGGGGTAACTATTTTTCCTTTTCGGATAAACAACGTTGGTGAAATTGAAATTTATTCGTTCCAAAAAAGTTCCCTATAATGCTCATGCCGCCTTTCGCGAACTTCGTATTTCCTGATCATTTCGTGAACCTTTCTAACCAGTGGTGAGCAGTCATGGGGGCTACGCTATGACCTTCGCGGACAACAACTTTTTACTTCTTTTACTACTGCGATGAATCTGGAGGCCTATTGATCGAACACTGCTGATCAGGCGGATGTTTCTGAACAATGTTTGCTGTGCTTACTATTATACTATGCTTACTATTATACTAAATTGCCCAAAAAAATCATTTGACGCGATTATCGAAACTAGAGGGCAGTCTAGCGACAGGGCGGCATTTTGCACTTTTGCTGCCTGCTGAATCTAGCTTCTCAAGTTCAGGTTTCACCAGAGTGAGACTTGTAAACCGGAACTAGTGAAGCAGCAAAAGTAAAAATATTCTCCTCCCCCTTTCGCGGAACTGCGCCGATACTAATCTTGACTCACAAACCTATCAGTTATAGCCCAGTTTTTTTTTAGTATATTGTGCAGCTCGTGCCTTCGTTGTTTCGCCCCTTTTCCGGGCACTTGGGGACCCTTTGTCGTGTATTCGTGTACTGGCCAACGCTCAAAAACATTTCGAAGGATAGGCTTGATTCAGAATTTGTTTCTGTGCTACAATTTGTGCAGTCTCATATCGTCTCCTGCTCTACACTTGCATGTAACAGCTTTATCTGCTGTGGTAGAATGAGCACTCACGATAGGATGTACTCTTGAACAGTTTAACTCATCCCCCTAGGAGGCATTTGTTACCGTAGATGAGAACCGCACTCATGTACCAGTATTATGCAACACAACGAATGTTCCCAATATAAGTCAGTAGTGTCGTTCAATAACGTCGTTGTCCCTTCTTGTAACTTGGGCATGATGTCGAATGTTCAATTACTTTTGCCAAACGAGGTTGTTAGATGGTTCCTTTTATCGGCCTAACGTTTCGACCTTCTCGTCTTCTTCGAATCGCACAAAGAGCGGTTTTCCAAAGACGAGAAGTTCGAAACGTTAGGCTAATAAAAGGTTTCATCTAACAACCTCGTTTGGCAAAACTAATTGAGCAGACAGCAGTGTGTCCGTACATCCGTATCCACTCACAGTTTTCCTCGACGAAACCCTTCGATGCTAAAGAGAAAGGTAATAATCACAAAAAGAGCAAAGGGAGTGCTACAATAAGCTGTAACGCCTCATTTGGAAGACCTTCCGTGAATGAAATAAATCCTATTTCATTGTCAAAGCCGTAATTTCATAAAAAATGTTTTCGTTTCAGTATGATGAAAACGTTGGTCTGCGCTTCGAATCAAATGCAAATGAGTTTGCTGAAGTGGATGCATTATGTGTAATGAATGAGGAACTCGGAAGACTCGAAGTTGAACGTCGAGGATACACCATTTCGATTCCCCAGCCATGTGCTTCTTTAGTCGCAAATGGTTTTATTAAGTACGTTACCTGAACGTTACCTGAAGTTTCAAGCGCACTTTACTATATTTTTTTGGAATAATTTTCGTTATGTTCCTTTTTCATCTTACTGAGAGCTTTATTCCCTTTAAAAACAGTTCCCGCGATCAAGTATCATTTGTAGTGGCTGTTTAATTATGGGAAAGTAGCTGATTCCTCAAAGGAGAAATAAAGTAAAAGCATCCTAAAGACACCACAAATGAACGCGTCGCACAGCTTCAGTGTACGAGTTCACCGGACATGCTGGCAACTCGACGCCCTGGTAGGCCCTGGCTCACAGATCCCTTTTTCGCATCTTCCGGTACTGAGCGCTCATCTAATGTTAAGCAATGTTAAGAAAGTGAAACGATAAACAGCAAAAGTACTGGAGTAAAACTCGTAACAGTAAGTAACTTTCGAAAACTTTGCATACAAATTTAGGTTGTTTTACGGTGAGCTCACGTGGAGCTTTTGCATTAAGCCGTTGCATAGGTGATTTGAACAAGTCCTACCTTACAATTTAGATTGCTGTTGATTATATGCTCCTAATGAAGAAAATATAATAACGAGACAGTATATGTATGTGCTCGACCGTGTTCGGCAAAAATGGCCATGCAGTTCCGTTTTATGCACGCTAACCCCAACAAACTACAGCTATGAGCCGGCGTTAGGACTA